GTCTGCTTACAACTGTTCCTCTTCCTTTGTATTTCCATACTTGAAAACTCAACCTCCTTTGCCATTTCTGTTATCTAAATGTGTTCTGTTGTACATAGGGTTTTCAGAGGCCTGCTTGTTATGTTTGTTTTTCATACCCTCATTTAACCCTAGGGTTCAAGGGCAGCAAACAGTTTCTCTTGTGGGAACATCTGGCCATTTGCTTCTCATACAACTGATTGCTTCCTTATATCTTTTACTTGATAATTTTCCAGTGCTATATGAAGGTTTTGATGTGTCTTTATTAAAGATTTCCCACAGAGCACAATTAAGTGTCCTAGAATTCCTGTTCTTCTCAATGTTATCTTCTTTTCACCCAGTTTCTGACATGGTCATTCCTATTTTGTCACATGGTCTCTCTATAGTGTGGTCTCTAACTAGCCCTCCCAGCTATGCTCCATACAGTCACAGAAACTGTGTCGCTATCATGTGGTCCAGTATCTCGGCCAGAGTAACTCCTTGCACTTCCACCCCTTATGATTCCTTATGATCAATCATCTCCCTTTTCCCATCTAATGTACTAGAGACTTTTAAAGTGACCAATAAGTATCTCTCTCCCTCAATATCACTCTCTCCCCCTCCTCTCTCCTTCTTCTTCTTTCCCTCTCCCCCTCTTCTCCCCCTCCCTCTTCCTCTCCTCCCTCTCCCTCCCTCTGTCCCTCTCCCTCTTTCTCTCTTTATACCTCTCCCTCTCTCTCTGCCTCTTCTTCTCCCTCTCTCCCTCTCCCCTCCCCTCCCTCTCTCTCCTTTTCTTCCTCTCCCACCCTCTCTCTCTCCCTTTCTCCCCCTCCTTCTTCCTCCCTCTCTCCCCCTCCATTTCTGCCTCTCCCTCCCTTCTGCATTCTCTCTCTCTCTTTCTCTCTCTGCCATCAAGTTAAAACCAACCCAAAGGTGACCCTTCTTTGAGTTTTCAGTGCTACAAATAACACAGAGAATTGTCAACTGTCCATCTTTCTCCCACAGAGCCATTAGTGGACTCAAACCACCAGAGAGGCAAGGACTTTGAATTAAGAGAGCAACTCCCTATGGACTAGGCCTCTAGAGCTCCAACGTATTTGAATGAGCAACAGAAGGTGTTCACAAAGCCAAGACTGCCTGAGAGACATTGGTGTGGGGTGGAGGGAGATCTGTGTGGAGTGCTGGGAATGTGCCCATAACTTCTTTAGTGGCAAATTCACTGGTATCCGGTGGATTCCAACTCATAAAGACTCACCATTGGGTTTTCACAGCTGTAAATCTTCATGAGAAGCTGTTGTCCATCTTTCTCCCTTGGAGCTTCTAGTGGATTCAAACTGCTACCCTTTCAGCTAGCAGACCCATACTTTCTGCACTATGCCGCCAGAGCACCTGAGAGTTAATAAGATTTCAGCATGCACTTATGTCAAGACTCTACCCTGTTGGCTATGAATAAGCCCCACTTATAGTTCCAACTTGTCCCCAGTGCACACTCCTCAGTGGCCCTACTTGGGGGTACTCTAGTTTTCTCTTTAGGGCCTGTGGGGACTAGATTCTATCTACTTTTTGGAGTTCTTTTAAGTGTCTCACTTTCTCAGACTACACCTGGCACAGCACCTGTGACACCCTTAGCCTCTTTGGGTCAAAATTAAAACATACACAGCAATAAGTCACTGAACTGTAGCCCTTTGAGGATCTCGTCGGCTCTTTCTGCAATCATTTCTTGACCCTCCTTTTTATATCCTGTTTCAGGGCTCTTCTTCCTGCTGACTTCATCAGGAGCTCTAGCTCAGAAGTCCCAAGGTGAGTGCTAAAAGCTTGGCCCTCCTACAGCCTGACACCAGGAAGGGTGGGGACCGAGACTGTATCTGGGACCACTCATGTCCTCCAATAGCTTGGAGGAGGAGTCAGAGACAGGGGCTTGTTCTGGGAGAGGAACTTAAGCAGGCTTACTACTATTTTGTCTCTGTTTGTTGCATCAAATTTAGGTTCTTTCACCAAATTTAGATCCTTTCCTTTTGCACTTGATTTTTTTATTTACTTGCTTGTCAGTTTTCAGGAACCACAGTGTGCACCATGTGGGAAGAGAGCAGTAGATAAAATGCACAATGTCTCAGGAAGTAAGCATTATAGTGGGAGGAGAGAGAATGGTGATAGTCATTGTCATTCTGCTAATAAGCAACAGATAATGAACAAGACATTCTCTGTTTAGCTTTGATTCGCCCTCTGCTGTCAGGTCTTGGGTGGAGCATGAGATTCCCCATTTCTAAGTCAGCTCCTAGGACCTTCATTCCCAGGGCACCTTCCTCACAAGTCCCAATCTCCACTCTCCAGGTACCTGCTATAATCTGCACCCTTCTGAGGGTGCCCAGAACCCCAAACTCCACTGTTTGAGTATTTTCCTCCATTCTATTACGTTTATAAACAAATTCCTAAGATGGGCAACCTAATAGAATATGGATGTGGAAATTGTAGAACAATATTATTAACCTCACATGCAAGTAAAAGATTGCTGAAGATCACCCAAAAATGGCCATATGTTGGAAAAGATCTGGTGTGAAAAACAATGTGTACTAACTTTGTAAGTAAACTAGTATAAAATGCAAATTTCACATAAAATAAAACAAAACAAAATAGAAGTATGTTGGCAAGGAGCTACCAGAAGTTCAAGTGTGGTTTAGAAGAAGCTGTTGCCATCAGGAATATCACTGCTGATGTCAGATGAATCCTGGCTGAAAGCAGGGAATATAAAAAGAATGTCTATTTGTGTTTCCTTAACTATGCAAAGACATTTGACTGTGTAGGTGATAACAAGTTATGGCTAACATTGAGAAGAATGGAAATCTCAGAACAGTTAATTGTGCTCCTGAGAAATCTATACCTAGATCAAGAATCTGTTGTCTAAATGTGTGGTTTAACATCAAGAATGTACCCTATCTCCATACCTATTCAATCTGCATGTGAGCAAACAATTCGTAAGGTTGGACTCTGTGAAGAGTCTATGTGACATAAGAATTGGAGGAAGACTCATCAACAACTCTCATTATGCAGATGACACAACTTTCTTGCTATAAGTGAGGAGGACTTTACACACTTACTACAGCCCTCAGTATGTATTACATCTCAACATTAAGAAAACAAAGGTCTTTTCTACTTGCCCAATAGGCAACATCATTGTAGATCGAGAAAAGTTTGAAGTTGTCGATGAGTTCATCTTGCTTGGGTCAACAATTAACACCCTTAGTCGCAGCAGTCAGAAAATCATGAGAGGTATTATTACACTGAGCAAGCCTGCTGCTATCAGGGACCACCCCAAATTACTGAGGAGCAATGATGTTAGTTTGAAGACTAAGATGTGTCTCATTCGGGCCATGATCTTATCAGACACTTGCTACACATTTGAAAGCTGGAGAATGAATAAGGGTGAATAAAAAAGAATTGATCCCTTTGAGTTGTAGTATTGGAGATGAGTACTGAATATCCCATGGACTCCTAAAAGAACAGGGAGACCTTGGAGAAGATGCAGCGAGAGTGCTGCTTTTTTTATTTTATAGTTTTATAACTTTATTTGATGATCAGAAATTAGTTTCCATCTATATTGACAGTCTGTAGATTTTTTTTAAAGTGGTGACAGGTGCATAGGTAACCAGTATATGCAACTTTTTTGGGAATCTTCATCCACACTACACTCTCTGGACAACTGTACCCAGATGTGGTATAGGACTTCCCTTATTCCTTTGGCCCAGACAGCTTTATTAAGTCTGATGTCAATGCAAACATCTAGCGTTCCCATCTCCTTCATGGCAAATTTTCAGATCTCCCGAGGGTCACGCGTCTTAGATCTCGCTCCATGGATGATGCGTTTGTGAATGTTGATGGTGTCCTCTCTAGTCACCACTTCGTTGATGGCAGAATGACCTTTTTCCTTTTTACCACCCTTCTTTGCGGCGGCCATAGCACCAGGACCAAGCTGGAAAAGCAAGAATGCTTCTTAGAAGCAAAGATGGTCAAGGTCCCTTTGTCATACTTTAGGCACGTTGCTAGGAGAGGCTATTCCTTGGAGAGAAACATCACGCTTGAAAAAGTGGGAATCAGCGAAAGAGAGGAAGAGTGACTACAGAAATGGACTCAAGAGTATCAGAGATGGTTGGCACAGGGTAGGATAGGGTACCAGTCTGCTTTTCATAGAATCATTGAGTCTTAACTTGACAACACCTAACAACAACATGACTTCCATACCTTCCCGCCAATTTCCATCAAACAGATTCATGGAAACCCATGGCAGTCCCATGTGTGCTAGAGTAGAGCTGTATCCCATAGGATTTTCAGGCTGAATCTTTGGAAGTGAAACTCCAGTCCTTTGTTCCAAGGGGCCTCTTGGTGAATTTGAGACTCCAACTCTCAGGTAGCAGGTGAGTTCATTACGCATATACATCACTCGAGGACTGTGTTCATTCCCAAAATATCTCAGATTAAGATTTTTGCCTTATCTCTATCTAAATGAAGAGGAATCCCTCGTGGCCTAGTGGTAAGGAGTAACACTACAAACCCAAAGGCACTCTGTTCGAATCCACTAGCTGCTCCACAGAAAAAGGATAGATTAACTCTTTCTCTGCATTTTACAGCCTCTGAAAACCCAGTGGAGGATCAGCTATGAGTTGGGTCAACTCTGTGGCACATAACAACAACAGCATAAATGAAGAGATAGTAACATGCCCCTTACTGAAATGCATTTCCTGTGGTATCCTCCTACATGTTCAAATTTTCAAATCATGAACTGGCATTTATTACATGTCAGGCACGGTTCCAAGCATTTTGCATATATATTAATTACCTTAATCTTCACAATAATCCATTTCACACCTGAGAAAGGTGAGGCACAAAAAAGGTAAGACATTTGACTCAGGATACAAAGCTAGTAAGCTGTGGAGTCAGAATTGAAACCTGGGACCACAGTCTTAACCAACTCACTGCCCCTGGTTTTGTTCTTAAATTTGCAATGACCTTGGGAGTGGCATGATATATTGCATTTGTGTGTGTGTGTGTGTGTGTGTGTGTGTTTAAATTCATTTAACACTGCCCCTTCTTCTCCTCTAGTCTTCTACCATGCACAGGAATTCCACTTGTACCTTTGTTGTTGTTGTTGTTGTTGTGTGCCCTTGAGTAGGAACTGACTCACCGCTGACCCTCCAGCAGGTTTTCAGAGGCATTTAATCACAAATGAGCAGATTACCCATCTTTCTCCCATGGAGCATCTGGTGGATTCCAACCTAATGCCTTTGGGTTGACAGCTCAGTTCCTTACCACCAGAGCTCTGTGCTGTTAGCATCTTTTAATATTTCAGTGTCTTAGGATCTCAAGAAGGAAAAGGGTGTGGGTCTCCTCGGCCTCTGGAGGACTTGCTCAGAAGTAATAGCAAGAGTGTTTGTGACAACGTGACTGACTCGCCTCTCTGCTCCCAACAGCTTCCTGTCCTTCATGTCCCAAGAATGCCTATTGTGTCAATGGGACTTATTGTACCTGTGACTCTGGATTTGTTTCCACATCTAAGAAAACCTACTTCACATTCCCCTACGAGCAATGCACAGGTAAATGGGCAAATGCTTTTATTGTAGTAATTGTGATTTTTATCATTTATATTGTCATCTCAACAATTTCTACATCTACTATTAATGCCACGGATTAAATTTTCTAAGTTGTGCATCCATTCTCACTGTCCTTTTCCAAATCATTCCACTGTTCGCATAAATTCAATTCCTCCAGCTGAACAACACCTTGCTTGAACATGACTGGGTAGTAGAAGAAATAAAAAATGAAATTAAAAAGTTTCTTGAAACTAATGACAATGAAAA